ATGTATGTATTGAAAAATGTAACCCTTCTACAAAGACAACTTATCAAATGTTGAAACTCAAAATGTTTTAAGTTAAATGAGATAACTGAGTGGTTGTAGAACGAGTACCCCGACTGAGGCTGGCACTTTCAGCAAAGCAAAGATGAGCGAGAGGGTTCACAATTCAGTAAAAGACTGTGTGAACAAAGAGTTCAACAATTAAAGAATAAATTTTTGTTTAACAGAACTACATAATGTTATTGAATGATTTAAAAGCCCGGAAAAATTTCTGTATACAAGAGACAAGGTCAAAAAGCATAATCTGGGCTTAGAAAAGGGACCAACCGGCTTGTTATTAGCACAGAGAAGAAGAGAGGGGTGCATGTATCATGTGTAATTTGCACATCTGTGATGGCATCACTAAGGCTGAAATGTATATGTAGGTTTCATAGCAACATATCCATGGCTTCTAGTTCACATAAGGTCTTGCTTATTTCCTAAAACAATACTAAAAATTAAGCACATACTCCAGGTGCTTAACTAGCTCGCAGTCTCGTTCTGTCACCAAATGAAAATATTTGGAGTGTTATGAAATGAAAAAGACCCCAGACTGCAAAGAAGCTGAAGTCCTACATCAAACAAGAACTGGGAAACACTGTGCTCTCAAATTACACCAACTGTTCCCATCAGGCCTCCCAAATATTAACAGTGTCCCTAAACAAAAAAAGACGTGATCTAAAATAATGATGAAAATGCCCCTGCCACTCTCTCTCTCTACAAACACAAAACGTATCTAATTTTCAACATTTGATATGCTGTTTTTTAAATACAGTATTTAAATAACTTCCAAATCATTGCATTCATGTTGCAGCTTTTTTGGAAACTGGATTGTACAAAATTAGATGAGATATATTCCACAAGTTACCTTGAATAATGTTAGAGTCACAGTCCATTGTCTGTCCATTTTATCCACAGGTCAGATATCACAGTTAACACCACGGATGGTTGAAGCAGCCAGTCAAGGAAAATCATCTCTCATGCACAGAACACAGAACACAAAGGAACTCATTATCAGCAAAGAAGAGCACAAAATGCTCAAATTTCCCCTGTATATATTCAATTCTATTATAAATAACTATGAGAACTCAATTACTGAGGGTCAGAAGTCTGTGTGAAATTTCCATGCGTGACATCATAGCACTAGAATCCAACAGATGTGTCCCACAATAGAGTAGACCTTTCAATATGTGTCATTGGTAATGAGGATGCAGAGCTTGATTTAACGTAATCTTTATTTTTATGACATTAGAAATTACATGTTGAAAAATGGTGAATGGATGAAATGAGTGGCTATTCTAAAAACACAAATGTGACACTCTGTTAAGACAATTAAGAAAACTCAATAAATCCATTTTTCTCAAGTACAAACTTCTCTTTGTTCATATTTATGATCTGTTTTGGTGTTGGAAGGGTTTTTTTCCCCCCACACTAACCAAACTGATACATTTTTATGTTTATGTTAGCTATCATTTTTTGCTAGATTAAGTCACAGTTAAAGTTTTTCTGGGTGTAACCAGTTATTATACCACTGCTCCGAAAAGTTGCAGCAAGACATGTCCTTCCTTCCAGCTTTCGGTAACATTTCACATGGCCTACTTGTCTGTAAATAGTGACCCAAAAATATATAACCGTTTCTCTGCTTCTTGTGGTTCTTTCTCCCAATAATAGTGCAGCGGGTTACAGAAACAATCTTTCAAAAAACAATACAATTTTAAATTTTTTGTTTTCATCTAGTGCCATGCCATTTATTCATTTGATATTCATTTTCATGCATTTCAATGAATTAGATGTATCGGATGCACGAAGACTCCTTTGCCTATGGCTCAGCTCTATCATGCTCACACATCCTGTCATAAAGGATTTTTTAGGTAACACAGAGAAACAGATAACCATTTACCATCAAACCAACAGCCACTTTAGAAACAACGCTTAACCTAACTTCACATTTATGTCTTTCTTTGGAATCTGACCTAGAATCCTCTTGCCACACGACAGCACTGCCCTTCATTGTTATATTGGCCAACTCGTGTTACGAATATAACTAAGCAATCATAAAAAGACTATTGCAACTTTGGTACCCCTAACCACCTGTGGATGATTTTGCAGCAATGTTCAGTTATCTGCTGCACTATAAAATGTTTTCTGATTGAGATACAATATTCAGGAAGACCTTTTTGTGGTTAATTCTACAACTGGAAGACACTTTATATAATAATAATAATAAATATATAAAATAATAAACTTTTTTATTAGATATTTCAGTTGCTGTTTGCTACAGATCAAATGACTTGTCAGCTTGATGCAGCCTTGTTACCAATGCTGAAAAAGTTGTTTACCTAACTGTTGACCATTAAGTTGAAAACAGTCACCCTAATACTGAATGCTCAATTTCACATAAGATTTCATTTATATTAATTTGAAATCTATTCTGCCCAATTGCCCATCATGCAGTTTATTCAGAATTTATTTTTTGGGATTTTATCCTATTTATTATTTTTTCTTTATTTTCAAATATTTGCTTGAATAAACTACACAAATTATTTTATTTAAAATAATTGTTAAAAATGAAAGTAACATGATTCCACGAGTTAATTTGACTGAATGAATATATTACAGGAAATTTCCTGCAGTTGTAAAATGTCCTGTGTAAACATTTACTCTCCCTGTAAACAAATGCATTTAAATTATGTATTTATTGTTTCTGCAGATTTTTCAACCTGCAAATATTGCAATAGAATGGTAATCCTGATTGCAAGGCCTTTCTTAACTTTGCCATTTTGTTGTCTCTCTGTGTTTGCCACTTGAAGGCGCTATTTCCACTGCTGTATGTTTCAGAAAACAATAGCGCTGGCTAGTGTAGGATAAGGATACACGGCTTGGTCCTCTCTGGTCTAGACATCACATCATTAGCCAAGTCAGCTAGTAAGCTGTTTATTTTTTTTGACAAAATGTCAACCACGACCGGCGGCGGAGAGTTTGGCAACCCCTTACGAAAGTTCAAGCTCGTCTTTCTGGGCGAACAGAGTGGTAAGATGGGCACGAAGTACTTAGAGAAGCGTTAATTTGGTCAGATGAAAGGAAATGTTGGGAGAACTGGCAAGATCAGCTAACTAGCTTTGTGGTGTTAGCTTAAAATTGCACGGTATGGTACAGTCATGTAGTGTATATTAGTGACCAGGAATGATACGGGACAATCTGTTAATTTTGCAATGTCAACAAAGAATATTAGAGCATGACAAAGATTATTAACCTACCGATTTTTCTCCCCGGTGATGATGTCATTGAATAGCTACCATTAGCTTGAGATAGATCGCTAAACTAGCTTGTTTTGTGCCTTAAAAGAGGGCAAGAATACGACAAATTATTGTGTCGTAGCAGCTGTATTCAAGATTTATCCACATATTAAAAATTAACGAAATGAGTCAATGGGCATTGTCATTGTTCCTCCCATTAGTTTGTGATGGAGGTTCGTTGTTAGCACGTTACTTCTGCTTGTAGCTAGCAGTTAGTTAGCTCTATTGGGCTAAAACGTCAATGTTGACGCTCGCTTGCGCACTTTAAAGACTTACATAGTTGCTCTAAGTCTGTTACAGATCACAGGCTTCAAACAGAAAATCTCAAGAATTAATTTAAACCGTCTGTTTGTTGGTGTATAGTTGTTTGGCTGTTAGCTTCCTGCTGCAGCATCTTGAACAAGCCACGTCGACCGGTGGTTTCGCACCAGTCGGCCTTTTTCCTTCATTGCCATTATTTTTGCTCAGGTTCGGAGACTGACCCTGACATTGCAAAACGTGGCTTGTTGTTAGTAATGTTTGTGTCGTGTAATTGATACAGTATGGTATTACGAGCCAGCTGTCAGGGGTCGAGTACATTTTAATTTTCCAGATTTTGTGGCTCCACCCATATTGCCAGCTCAGCGTGTGGGTTCAGTCGTCCACACTGCATCAGTGGTAATAGCAGTTTACTCACCGTGTGATGTCACCGACTCATTTTTCTTCTCTATCTCTTCATTGAATACAGACTTAATTACACAATTATATAATTTTTAAATTTACCATTTGAGTGGTGGTTTTAGGCTTGAATTACCTGGAATACCTCTTGTGTTACTAAAGTGACTGTGTTTTTTCTGTACAGTTGGGAAAACCTCACTCATCACCAGGTTTATGTATGACAGTTTTGACAACACTTACCAGGTAAAAAGAAGTTATAACAGGGATTTGTGTAGTCATTTTTGTCTGAAAACTGACATTTTTGCCACAAGCACAGGTGTAATAAAAAACGAGCGAACAGTTTCAATGCGACTGATCATCTAATAACATATGTGACAGTTAAAATAGAATAAAATAGACCAATTTATCATGTCAGTAGCTGATACTTGTAAATATTTAGACACATTTAAATTGGACAATTAAAAAAGATTAACACAAAACAATACTTTATTAATCTCTGAGGAAATTATGGGATCATTTAGTTTAATTGTATTTGGCATAGGGAATTTGCATTTAGTAATCTGTCTATTCACATTCTTGTAAATATGGTAAATATAGTGTCTATTTTTGCGATCAGCTTGCTAGCTAAGCCCCTGAGGTTTTACCTTCTGTGAAGTGTATAACGAAACATGAATAACGGATTACTTCAAATTGCCGAAACCATTATGTTTCACCAGTCAACCAGAGTAGAATGTTTGCAACACACAAAGGGCTTGCTACAAAAATCACTTACTCCGGATGTTAGGAAGCATGTAAGTGCATTCCACTGATTAGATTATGAGCGCTACCTGTGTGACAAGTCTAAATGTCAGTAGAAGTAGTAGTAGTTTATCTTTATTTGGCTCATTTAGAGTTTAAATGACAAACTCATGATATAAGAATCTACATGTAAGGCAAATTAACTAAATCATCAGCCTCAGATTTAAGTACAAAAATCATGACAGAAGGAAAAAGAAAGAACTATCATCTGTTTATGTCAAGTCCAGCTACAGATGAACTCCTATCTAAAGCATCTTCACACAAAACCGCTATCACAATACTTGATAATTTTGTTCTTTCTGGACATTTTTTAGCTATGTTATGAAAAAGGTCAATAAAATATGTTTTTAACATATAATGTAGGTAACGATTCTTTAAATGTATGTAATACATTTAACTTGCTGGTAACACTGTTTAATTGAAGTGTTTGTTTTACAGGCAACAATTGGCATTGACTTTTTGTCAAAAACTATGTATCTGGAAGATCGCACGGTAAGCCCAGTGTGTTACTGTAATTTACATCATTCCAACTGGTCAGGTATTAAAACTGCCATAGAAGCATGCTTCTGCTTATTATCACAACATTCCACATTGTTTATAGATTATCCTAGTTTTTTGTTTTGTTTTTTCACTCATTTTGTTGAACATGTGATCGTGTTTTTAGTTCCCATCATTATTTCAAGATTTTGTTTTCCTTCCATCCCCTGGCTGGATCATGAATTGCCCCCATGTTCCCACATTTGTTTCGTGGCTGGCCACAGATCCGGCTGCAGCTCTGGGATACAGCCGGACAGGAGCGTTTCCGCAGCCTCATCCCCAGTTACATCCGCGACTCAGCCGCCGCTGTGGTGGTTTATGACATAGCCAGTAGGTATTGTGGCTTTGCCTCTCCTCCTTGTCCTTCACTTAGTATGTGGAAGGGCAAAAAACAAAATCAAAAGCACCAATGAGCCTAGCAAACCCGCTGGATAGCATGTTAGGGTATATTTCAGATACTGTTTGTATTAGGTGTAGTGATTCAAAAGCATTTCTCCAGCAGTGTCCAGGGGAGTGTAAATGCTAATAGTTATAAGTCTTACTTGAAGAATAAGGAAAAAGCTGTCTGCCAATGTCACTTCATGAGCAGAAATCCTGTGAGAGCTGCCTAAATAATGATTCAGCAGGGCCTACTTTCACATTTGCATAACACCCGTCATCTTTGAGCCTTCTGCATTTGAATGATTCTTCGCAATTCCTCCATTTAAAGGTCATTCTCTTCTTTACTGCTTGGCTTGCAATTCTTTTTATGTCTGTCCTGTTCTCCACATTCTCATCCTTCCCTTTGCTGCCCTTTATCTCGACTTTTCTTTTTTTTTTTGTCAATTTCTTCTTCTGCAATTCCAATCCTCAGGTCCGGCTCCAGCTTTGGGACACTGCTGGACAGGAGCGTTTTCGTAGCCTAATTCCCAGCTACATCCGTGACTCTACCATTGCTGTGGTTGTTTATGACATCACCAGTGAGTCAGGGCTGTCCTCTAACCATTCTGTAGGGCTCTAGAGTAATAGGAAGGAAGCTCTTTATTTCTGCTAGTACACTAATACAAAATACACTTCTTCTCCAAGCTTTTTCTTCTGAATACTCCTGCTCACTAACACATAACTACAGGTTTTTCTTATATAAGATTAGGCTTTTCTCTAGGCTTTTAACTGAATGTATTGTAACAGATGTTTCATGTATTTTGGGGCACATGTGGCTGATGTGTATAATGATTTTGTATTTTGTTGCTTGTTTTCACCCCATTTGCAGATCTTAATTCTTTCCAGCAAACCTCAAAGTGGATTGATGATGTTAGAACAGAGAGAGGAAGTGATGTCATTATCATGCTCGTCGGGAACAAAACAGACTTAGCGGATAAAAGGTACATGGTTGTGTGATAAGCGCGAATGATTGTTTTCTTGTTCTATTTACAAAGATTGATAAATGGATCCTAGTGCATTTACAAAACAGGTATCTTTGTGTAGCATAAACTCTGCCAAAGCCTGGAATCCCACTTCCCTTCAGTGCATCTCATCCAGTTTTTACTTTTATTATTTCCTTGTAATGTTGCATACTTCAGCCTTTCTATGAGTTATTTAAATACTTTTATTTATATTGGTTTTTTTTAATTTTATTTATACTTTGATCATATTTCTGTTTTGCCTTTTTTTTTTCTTTTGCCTTATGTTTTTTCTCTTCATGTCATTTTGAATATTTTTTTGTGTTTTCCCCTAAAAACACCACACTTCCATCCTTCACCCTCACCTTACCCTTCCCGGGACCATGGCAGGCAAGTTTCTGTTGAGGCGGCAGAGAGGAAAGCTCGTGAGCTCAATGTGATGTACATAGAGACCAGTGCCAAGGCTGGCTATAACGTCAAACAGGTTGGTGTTCAGCAGGAGCAGGTGTAATGGTGACAAATTATCCCGTTTCAAGCAAGGCTCATACTGTCCCAGAGGTTAGGGAGGCCCGCCTGTGACATCTGGGGTGTGAAGCTCCTCCATGTCTTCGATCATTTAATGGATTAGAGTGTGGCTGTTGAATGAATCATTGACCTTCGGAGTGGATTTTATGCTGTTTCGTCTTTACTCAGCACAGCAGCCTCTGTCCCTTTGTCTCTGTCCGCCTTATAAACTAACCACTCTCTTCTTCACTCCAAACAAGATTCATTGCTGAGCTCTCTTTGTCCTTCTCTCCATCTCTTCTCTTTTCCTCTGGCCTGTCCTCTTTGCGGTTTCTTTCCATATCTGTCTGTTCGGCCATCTCCATCCTTCTGCTTTTACCGGAGCAGACAGATCACCACGGAGGAGGGCGAGCAGAGAGCTAAGGAACTGAATGTCATGTTCATTGAAACCAGCGCAAAGACTGGCTACAATGTCAAACAGGTAGCGATTCCGTTTTCTCAGGGTAGTTGAGCTAATTCTACTCTGTCCCCCCTCGTGGCTCATCATGACCTGTCGCAGCTTTCTCCACACAGACTTTTCAGTGCAGTTGCTCTGCGCAGGTTTATTGCAACTGCCTTTATTTCCCAGTACTCTGTCTGATTTGCTAAAACATTTCTATGAATATAATAGATTTTCTCAGCAGATGACTGTATCGTTGCTTTGACTACCACTTGTGTTTATTCAATGAAATGCAATAGATAACTAGCTATAATTTAATTACATACTGCCCATTGACTACCATCTAGGGTTTGGTAATATGATAAACTGTATTGTTACCAGATTTTCAGTACTTTCCATGATACTCTATCTAACTCTAATGTATGACTGTATTTGGCTGTTCGGAATCAAAGATTTATCATCAAGACTGAAATTCTTTAGGATGCCAGGGGCTTTGTTTCAGTGTGAGTGCCTTAGTGTTGGGGCCTTAAGTAAACATGTAAATAAAAACACATTTCTGGAGATTTGAGTATAAACAGTTTCCTGCTACATCTGTAGAAAATGTACTGTACAGTCCTGTGAAAAAGTAATTTCACTCTTACTGCTTCAATAGGAATAAAGAGGCTGAGTAGCAGCCAGGTGCTGCTTATGAAATGCACTTGATGAAATGATGATCAGCAAATGTGAGAACCTCTGTGAGGTCTGGAAAATTGAAATGTGTTAACACAATGCCACAGTCTTCCACTAAAGGGACAGACCGTGCAATGTTCAGATAAACTGCAAAAACTCAAGAGCTACATGTCAGACTCTATAGACATTGGTTAGCATGTTCAATGCTGAAAGATATATGATAGGACATTTTGGGGGGGGTGACTTATTTTGAAGGTTCCCAGAAGGAGCATAGTTTAGTTTGCAAAGTTGTATAAGAACAAACCGCTAAATCTGTGGAGCAATGTCCTTTGGGCAGATGGGACCAAAGTGTAGAGATTTGGCCGTAAAGCGTTGTGCCACATTATGCGAAAAACAAACGCCCCGTACCAACTGTCAAGCATGGTGGTGGAGGGGTGATGACTTGGACTTGTCTTGTAGCCACAGGACCAGGATACCTTGGAGCCATCAAGTCCACCATGAACTTCTCTGTAAACAAATTATTCTTGAATCAAATATGAGGCCATCTGTCCAAAGACTAAAACTGGGTCATTCAGCAGGACAACGATCCCAAGCACATCAGCAAGTGTACAACAGAAATTAGCTCTTAGTTTTTTACAGGACTGCGTAAAGACCTGTGAGAGTTTTTCTTTTCACAGGACTGTCTTGTGTTTTTTGCTACTTAAACTACTACATTTTATTTACCAAATTGTTCCTTTCAAATGTTTCATTTTTCTTACTGTTTTTCAGCTGTTCCGACGCGTTGCTGCTGCATTGCCCGGGATGGATAGCACACCAGAGAAAAGCAAAGAGGACAGTATCCTTTTTGAGTTGCTTTTGCGCAGAAATTGCTGCCATACCTTTTGTCATGCCACAGTTTTAAAAATATTTGTAACTTAGCACTGACTGCGACTTAGTTGACTGGAAAGAATGCAGAGAATGAAAGGCACTGCAAAAAACAAAAAAAAAAGAAGTGAAATCTGCAATTCATGTGAAGTGTTACTTAACTAACTTCTCTCAGTGATCGACATCAAATTGGAGAAACAGCCAGAGATGACTGTAACTGAGAGCAGCTGCTCATGCTAGTACACCTCAGCCCCTGCCAGCCTGTCTCCTCCCCACCAACAGCTTGTCTCTCAGTGGCCACTTTCCTCCACCCTTGGCACACGGCCATCGGGATGGAGGACCTGTCTTTTTTCTTCTTCTTTTTTTTCCCTTTTCAACTCAGTGACTTTTCAGAGTAACCGTGTGGATGTGCATTACTGTATTGAAACAAATTATTTGGGGAAAAAATGGTTCAAAAGTAAACATTTAAAACAAGGAATAAGTTAATTGATATGTTCAGATTTTCATCCAGTTGCATGGCATTATATAGGATTGCAGACTGACATAGCTAACTGCTCTTGAGTTATTGCACAGTTTAGAATCTTAGTGCTGTTACTCTTGTTGTTGTAAAGTAAAACTGCTTGGGATTATTTAAATGACTCTACAAGGTTGAGTTCTCTGCCTATCCTTTTGTTTTTGTCTCAAATGGAGAGTTCTGTCTCCTAAACGGCTTATCATTTGTCGACTTTGTCTTATTTTGAGGAAGTAATGACTGGCTCTCAACCAGTGAACTGTTATCATTGCAAAACATTATATTACCACATTAGGCTCAAGTAAACCCTTTTCATTGTGTCAGTGGAACTACTTATACCTAACACGTCTGCGAGCTTACATTGCCAAATACAAGTGTGTAAGCGGACCGGATTAACACAAATTTGTATTTAACAGTACTGCAGAAGGATGTGTAATAAGGAAGTGGATATCCATTGTAAAAGGGAAACCAGCCCAAACAAATTAGAAAGCCTACTAACCTAAAAGTTTATATGTTGTTGAATGAGCTCTGCACTGTACTAACATGTCTGAGGAGGCATTCTGAGTAGATGGTCCCCTAATACTATGAAAATCAGTTTTTCCACGTCGATGGAGAGTTGTCACTTTGGTCACCATCTCATCGACGATTTGTGTTGTGTTGATTACACTATTGCAACAACATGCAGCATGCTCACCCCGCAGGATTTCCATGGATAAGAACACAGATGCCTTGCTTGTTTGTTCACCAACGTTGTGCACTGAATCAAGCCACAATATTGTAAAATATCAGAGAAGCCTGCTGACTGGTTCATGGCTTCACTAGTTGTTTGTAGAGCTGGTAGATAGATGTCCTCAGATACAGCTAAAGCTTACTAACACCCTTGCTGTAAAAAAAAGTGCAGACGTTAGTTGCCATATCTTTTGCTGTATTGCTATTGCCTGTGAAGGACTGTTGGTTTATTTATTTTGTAACTTGGACATACAGCTAACATTGTACGCGTGACCAAAAGTACAGATGCCGATACGCATGTTTTAAAGTTTTATTTTATTTATTGTTTGCGTGTTTGCTGAGGCGCCACCTACAGGTGACATTTACGCCTAGTGAGTTTGGGGGGGGGG